TATGACTTGTGTCTCAGAAATTGTGTCTCACCCCTTAGATCTTCCAGCTTTCTGAACATTCTTGTATGAAGGATGCGAAGAAACATTTTATGGCTTCCGTAGTAATTCCATCTAGTCTAGAGGCCTTGCCTAGTTTTGCTACTTTTATAGCGTACTCCACCTCGGCGCGAATAATGGGAGGGCTGGGTAAATTTTTCGTGGGTAAGTTAGTAGTTAAAATATTCGGTCTATTATCCGCATAGAGGGACGAAGGTTTGCCTAGATTTTAGCCAGTCCTTGGTGTTCTCATGGTGTTTCTTGTATATACTCGAAATTTCTTTGACCATTTTATGTAGTCCAAAGCTGTCTCCCTTTTCTTGTAGTTATTCCAATTCTTAACAACGTTCTTTATTTCAGCTTTCATTTGAGTTTTTAATTCTTGCCCTTATCGTACGTTGGATTTCGTTGTATTCCTGTTGCTTCTGATGTATTTTGTACTGTCTGCGTTACTCCATTAGATCAAGTATCTCTTCCGTCATCCACTCGTTGACACAAGGTGACTAAGTTTAGAATATCTTCATCGATGTGTAGTTTTGAAATACACTTCATGTAATACTTAATGGGGGATCTTTAATTGGGCATCCTAGACAGTATTTTTTAAATTGAAGAAATTTCTACAAAGCGGGATATGAAAGTTCTGCTTCGTATGCTAAAAATCCGTTACCGGTCTGACCAGGACCAGGTTGTCTGATTTGATCTGTGCGTCATATGTGATAACTCAACATCTCTTAACCCTTTACCGTATGGATTTTTGTTTTTTGTCAAAAAGAAATTCTCAGATAAGAATTTTAATTATATTTTCACGTAAAAGTATTGAAAAAAATCTAGCTACAAGGAAAACTGTATTGACAAACAAAAATTTTTGGTGCCAAATATGGCACATCATGCCAACAATGTAATATTAAAGTCAAACTATTTTGAAGCTACAGTATACACTATACAGTATGAAACTGCAAATAACAGTTTCTTTATTAATACACAACGGTATTGTGCATTTTGTGCACACTATATATATTTTCCCTGTACAGCCTGGAAATATGAATCTGGACCTAGTGCTCTCATCCCAATAGGGAAAATGATCAAGCCCATCTTTACGGATGTCTTGGTAGGGTATTTATTTAGTGGGTACCTTTTTCGTTTGTTCTCGTACATCTGCTGAATGCTACTACTTGACGGTTTTCTTCCTCTCTTCTGTTTAATTGGTTTTCCGGCTTTGCATAGAGCATCGGCTTTTGCTAGTTTGGTAGCCAAAAGAGGCAAATCATCAGTTTACGGCTGTCATGTCAATGCAATGAAAAAATATTCGTAAATAATATTTCTTTGACCTGAATTTTATACGATAAATTCCTAACATGGAATCAAGGAGATCTACACCTCCGATGTAGTTGTTATAGATTAGGACACTGTTCTGACAAGGTATCATTTTATGTATACTTTCTTGTTTGAAAATCCCTTTGGTTCACTTCCAGCATATGTTGACGTTGTAGTAACGATTTAATTATCAAACTAGGACACTACACTGACATCCACATTGTCTATATTGGCTATTTTCTCTACCATATGACCTCTGCCGCACTTCTTCATTTCTTTCTCAGGTGGCATCACGACTTCAGGAACACGATTAAGTCTTACTGTTCCTAAAGGTAAATGCCCTCTTTGGTCAGATATATCATAAGAGGTATACTGGTGAACCATTTGTCAACTACTTGTAATGTTGATGTTTTGGTATCGAATCTGCTAATTTGATGACCACGTTTCTGCTCATACTAAGATTTGGTGCTCCTAGAGGTACAGTATTACTCTGCGAACCAACAAACAAATTAAAGTCATAGCTGAATCCCAAAATAGCACTCAGCATAAATTTTTTGAAGCACCACTTAGTGTTTCTTTGAGTTATACTGCTTTTGCTGGCTTCGCGCTTTTGTTGGTATAATCTGTTCGTCTACAGCTAGAAATTCTTCTTTCGGAACCAAGAGTAGTCGTTCTTTGATTTAGCTCACAACTGGTCTAATTTTGAATAATATGTCCAGGCTGGTCATTTTCAATCATGTCATCATTGTTATTGAAATGCAAGAAACGTTTTATTTCTTCGAATCTGTTACAGCTCATCACATCGCTAACTGTTCGGTGGCCAATGTTGGCATTCCAATAGTGTCTTGTTGATGGAAGTTAAATTGTCGACATGTAAATAGTAATTCCTATAAATTGTTCTATTTCATATTTTTTATATTAGCTGGTTTATCTGGACGTTGTTGCACTGAGTATAAATTTGATTGGTCTCTGATATGCTCTATAAGACTATCAGGAAAGAGAAAATTAAAAAATTTGACCAGTTTCTAATTGTAAAATCGAAGAAGGTAAATTTTCTTCCTTTAGGAAGAAGGTAAATTATGAGATTTCTTCCTTTTATATCGTAGTCTTTCAGACAAAGGGTATCATCAGAGGAATATGAGGATGTGACAGAAATTACAGTTTCCTTGACATTGCTTGGTAAATTTGTGCTGTCTTCATCGGAGAGATCTGATTCTTCACTATTAGTACTATTTGGAATTCTAACTGCATTCATTGTACCATAAAAGAGTTCAACAAGAATGAACTTGAAACTGCTTACGGCTGACTTCCTCGCCGTCAGAACTATGCCGCATATCTCGCGTACACTATTAGTACGTGTCAGATATGGGCTGCCATGCAGCTACGACAAAAATTGAGTTAAAACATTAAACAATTTTTTTTGTGCCATTTATGGCACTTGGTGCGGCAAAGGGCTAACATGTTTTTAACAATATTATAGTTCTTTAAGAACTGTATCAGTTGCGTATTTCGCTTCTTAGATGAAAGTAAGACCTTGGAAGAACAACCTTCACTGTATGATGCATACACACTACTAACTACAATCCAACTTGAGCAGTTGATACCTATAAAGAATAGTTTTTATATATTCCTGTATAATTGCTCATTTTTCTTGTGCATTATAATATTAACAATATTAAAATTGCGGTTACACTGCGCAAAGAATAATTGAGCGAAACAGTGATTTTTTTATCAAAGGATTGGCGATTGCCAGTCAACCAAATTATTAATATTTTAAACAAAATTTAGACTGCCAATTTATCACTTTTTTAGGCAAAGCACATGCAAATAACTATACAAATTGCCCTCTTACGATAAATGCTGTATCTAATGAACCTCTATTCATCTCCCTTGAAAATGAATTCCATAAAGTCATGATTACACGGAACGGTCTCATACATTAATCGATCTATCGTCGCCAGTGTGACCGCAGCCTAAGTTTCAAAATAATCCGTTTAAATCATGCATGTGAAATGCAACTGCAACTCTTAACCAAACCTAACAATTTTGGTGATGGTTTTGTTTTACATGTGACAGCATTTTTATAACTTAACGTACATGTCTCATTTCTCTCGATTTAAATAAAATAATACACAAACGTTTAATACATCTGTAATATATTTGTTATTAATCATCGCTTTGTTTTTTAATCTGAACATACATTGATGTAGTAATCAATATAAGGAAAAATTTTCTAATTCGTTTTTTGTTTTTTAGGAAGATCCGGATGATGATAACGTCGTAAGTATTTTTATTAATTCAAATAATATTAAAAGGTCAATTTTGTTACACGATCGTACTATTGTCTCATTTATCATACATACACATACACATACACTGCGGAGTCACTATAATCGGAGAATACAGTAAGTAAATGGGATTAGAGATTAATACCAAAAAGACCAAATTTATGATCATCTCCAGAAACTTAGATGCACTTGAAAACTCCACCATAACACTGAATACTAAGTCCATTGAAAGAGTGAGTAAATTTAAATACCTGGGATCGTGGCTTTTTGAAGACTGGGCATCGGACAGGGAAGTAAAATGTCGCATTGAGCAAGCTCGACAAGCTTTCGTAAAATTCAAGAAAGTACTGACTTGTTCAGAGTTTGATCTTCAACTGAGACTAAGGTTTACTAAGTGCTACGTATGGTCAGTGCTGCTATATGGCGTAGAGGGCTGGACACTCAAAACGAGGGATATAAACAGATTAGAAGCTTTCGAAATGTGTCTTTATCGCCGTATCCTAAAAATACCATGTACAGCGAAAATCACAAATATAGATGTCCTTAAAAGAATAAACCTGAACGCCAACTTTTCGAAACCATCAAGAAAAGGAAAACGGCGTATCTAAGTCACATCACGCGAAATGAAAAATACCAGTTCCTCCAACTTATAATCGAGGGTAAAATTGAAGGCAAGAGAGGAATGGGACGCAAGAAAATGTCCTGGCTCCGAAACATAAGGCAATGGACAGGAATTAACGACATACAATCTCTGATACATATTGCAAGAAATAGAGAATTAATGGAAAATGTGATCGCTAACATCCATTAGGGGATAGGGAAGAGAGACACATATATATATATATATTAATATATATATATAAATATATATATATATATATATAATATAATATATATATATTTATTACGGCTGCGAAACTTGGACACTAAAGAAAGAGATAATAGCCAAACTCTCTCAAAGTCACTCAAAGGTCCATGGAGCGATGCACGCTAGGTATAACAAAGAGAGATCGAAAAAGAATAGAATGGATCAGACAAAAAACAAGGTCACTGATGTAATCCACAGCATTAAATCTTTAAATTAGCAGTGGGCGGCACATTTAGTAAACAAATGGTAATAGATGGTCCCCTAGAATTACACTATGGCATCCAAGAGGCGTGAGGAGACCAATAAGACGTCCAAATTTAAGATGTGACTATGGTAATAGGAAAACACACGATACTACATATGAAAACTCGCAATCACGTTTATATCACAAGTTTATTTTTAACTGAGGTGCATCTAATATCCAGTAAAATCTGTTCCTATATATATTTATATTCATATTGTTTAATATTAATCTTTTTTTATTTTTGTTTCAGATTGATGGAAATGGGTAAGCTTTTTGTTTAATCTACACATTTTACATGTATATAAGTTTTATGTGTTTACCCAATATCTGGATTTGGATAGAATCATTTAATGAATGATCTATATTAGGTTTCACCAAAAAGACGTAACCTATTGGATGGAGAAGATAAATTTAATACCAAACTTTTCACATTTAAGAGAGGCATAGTTTAACACCTAATTGCTTCAAAATATTTATTAAGGACCACTGAAGCAATAAAACAGACGTATTTTTTCTTCGATTTATTTATAGTCAACTTATAGGGCTGATTCAATATTAATAATTATCGCAATTCTGATAATATTAAAAAGAGTTATACAAATATCGTTAGCTTTATAGTGCTAAGAGGCAGTAACAGAGATACAGATTATTGATAGAAACAAAACTGGTATACGGTTTAACACAAAACACCGGTTTACAAGCGTATCTTTGACTTACACATCACGCACTTTTCGGTATCGACACCACAACCGGTCTTTACTCGCCAAGATGCAAATTCGCACTGTTCTTGTCCTAAGTCCTATAACGCAGGGTGAAGAAAGATTATGAAGGAGAGGATCGCAAAGTTGATAAAATAACTAAATACAATTACAATATTATAAATAGGTTGTTTTTACAACACCTATTATAATGAGATTGAGTAGGATAACTTATCTATCTTTTGTTTCTTAAACCGTGGTGAGGCAAGTTATCAGCAGAAGTGTAATTTATAAGTCGAATGGTGTCTTAAGGGCTACCGTCAGGTGTTCCGGTCGGATGTACCAAAGATATTTCTAAAGGAACTGGAATTATAAAACTTTCCCAAATCAATGCAGAGACAACATTCTTAATAATAGTACCATTTGTAGACTACGTTAAAGTTTTTGGAATTTGTCTTTATAATGCGAGTAGAAATATCACAGTATTTGATCTAAATGATCTACTTTTGCTTCTATATTTTATTATTTAAATAAATCACCCCTTTATTACAATGTTTTAGGCCCGATGATGATGAGGATAACAACGGAGGCATTTCCGGTGATTTCGGTTCTGGAGAAGAAGAACCTAACATTCCAACCACACCAAGATTTGACTACGGACATCCAAGTAAGTAAATATTCCATCGTAGAGTACTGTAAAAGAAGAGTTCGATAAAGTGATAGGTTAATAATATGCCAGAAGACATTGGTTTCTTAATTGATATAAATAGGCATTGGATTTTAAAAAAAAGTTGAAATACTGTAAGATAAGTTTTCATAAATTGTATCATTGTTTTTTGGCGCAAAATCGACGAAAGACAGAACAGATTCTAGAACAGCAAGATAATGTTTTGCCAAAAATAAAAAAATGGACGCCATATTAGTTTTCCTCAGGTATCATCTTGGCGACGAATGTCAGTATTATAAGTATCATTATAATAATTTTGACGACCTATGAAATAACTGCTCTAATTATATTCAAACCATACCCTGAAATTTCTGAGCTCAGTATTTTAGTACATTGGCCCCTGGATACCTTTACTGACTTTATGATATTTTGGTGCCGTTTTTTTTTGATAGCATCACATCAGTTTGGTTTCTACTTATTTTGCCACTGTTAACTTCAGATGTCTTTATATAATATATAGAAGTCTTTTTGGAGAATTTTCTTTATCATGCCGACCCTACCAGTCTAAAGATAGTTGGTCTGACCAATCATAAGACACTGAGTTGCTGTAGACTCGATACATCCTTAAGAAAATGACAATTAAAAGCTGTTAAGACCAAGTCAGCACGGAGACTGCAGTAAGTGCCAACTATGCCAACTAAATTCACACCGGTTGGTGTTTTTGGGGTTTTGGTAAAGATCTCTTACTTTTTTTTGTAATAATTACTTTTTCATCTTACACAATGATCAACTTCTTTATCCACTCAATATATTAGGAGATGCTCTGCTCAAAATTGGGTATGGTACATTATAGATGCATCTTACGTTTTCGTCTTTGATGCGTTTCAAAGCTGACGTTTCTCCTTCTGTAACATGACTGTAACGTATCGACTAAGAGATGAAAAGTCCTAAAGCAAATCAATAATTTTGTAAGCCTTCGAAGTTGCATAAACACCATTGGACTTGCGTGAATACAGGATGGTAATATGTGCTGGGGTTATGACGAATACTTGAATCATGAAGCTAAAAGGCCAGGTGGATCAGAACCACAACGATTTAGACAAATTAAGGATAACTAAAACAGCTAAAGAAGAAACAATGGAAATATAAAATTAATTTCTGTATATTTAGTAATTTGTGTTTCTTATTGACTAATTTATTTGTGCTTTTAGGAATATTCAGAATTGCTTTCACCCTTCAAGAACTATACCAAGATGCTTACAATAACAGAAACAGTCCACAATTTAAGGCACTTGCCGAAAGGATCAAACGGGAAGTTGAAAGTGTCTATAATAATGTGCCAGGACAGCAATTCGTTACAGTCATTAGCATTGAGTAAGTACAATACATTATATCTCCTTAATCGTAACATTTAGTTTTTAGGAATTACAAAAAATTTTGATTATATTATTATTGATCGAGATTCTGTTCCAAGACTCTTACAGTTAAGGGTAGCTAATCAGATATAGGCAGCCGGATTAGATGAAATACCAGTAGAACTCTTAAAACTAGTGGAAGAGGACAACTTGGAAGTATTGGCAGATTTATTCAACACGGTGTACGATACGGGAATAATACCACAGGAGTGGCTAAAGTCAGCATTTATAACCATCCCTAAAAAACAAGCAGCAAAAGAGTGCTCTGATTATCGAACACTGAGCCTCATGAGTCATACTTTAAAAGTTCTGCTAAAAATAATACATAAAGAATATACGAAAGGCTAGAGGAGATATTAGCGAGATGCAGTTCGGGTTTTCGAAATGGAATGGGTACTCGAGAAGGACTATTTGCCATCAACATATTAATTCAGCGATGTCGGGATGTAAATGTTGATCTACACCTGTGCTTCGTTGACTACGAAAAAGCTTTCGATAAAGTAAGACATGAAAAACTAATATCAATACTTATGAACAAACGCATTGACAGTAAAATCATAAATATAGTGCAAACATTATATTGGAACCAAAGTGCCATAGTTCAAATTGATGGACAACACTCAGAAGAAATGAGGATCTGTAGAGGAGTTAGACAGGGATGTGTGTTATCACCACAACGTGATAGAACAAGTAGAAAAATATCAGTATTTGGGAACTTTGATCAATGAAACCAATGATCATACTGTAGAAATAAACAGACAAATAGAGATTGCCAGATCAGCATTTATACGAATGAAGCCACTCATATGAATGAAGCCACTGAATGAATACAATGGCAAAAATACTGTCTGTTAAACGGCCTAATGTGTTTTTAAGCCGCGCGGCAGCCGACGAGGCGCAGACGTGGCGCAAACCGCCATGTCTGTGTTTAACCTAAGATCATAATGATTAGAAGCGGTGTCCACACTCTGTGGAATCGTACTGATGACTGCCAACTTATACTATTCGGGGTTTCGGTATATATCTGCCCGGTAGGATTATTACTTACGGGAAAAATATTTGACTACTAGTAGCGTAGCCAAAAGTTGGATAAAAAAGATGTTTCTCTTGGTATTTTGTCACCTCTTTGTATCGGTTTATTTAAAAACCGCTTAAAAACCAGTAATTAACAGAAATATAACAGAAATTATTTTTTTTAGGAAACGACAAGATCCATTCAAAGTGAGGGTAACCGTGGATGTAGACTCCGAAGGAAACGCCAATAGTGAAGACATCAAACGTGCCATCTATGACCCAGTAAAAACAATTCACAGGCTTGGACAACTTACAACGGCAGACCCAGAAGACCTTAGGTTTACAGAGTTCGGAGGTATTTGTCTGTGTTTTGAAATTGTAGACACAACAAGAAGAAATATATCTTAAACGTTCAAAAACGGTATTAAAGTTGCAATGTGTTCAAAATTATCAAAACACTACAAGATACTTCTACAGATTTCTCTTCGAGATACTGCCTTTATTGTTGCACAGTTTTCTTTATTTTCCTTTTATTAACCTATGTGCACTTTGTTGTACATTTCATGGATATATGAAAGTTAAAGCTCTCTTATGTTACTACTAGTTACTCAACTAGTCGTTATGATTAATTTATTAATCTTACATCTTTTGTATTTTTTTTTTCAATTTTAGCGATGTTTTTTTTATTCTCTTTGTGAAATTCTCTAATTGAGATTCTGTGTTTCTATCGAGGGGAAGATGAATAATTTAGACGGTGACAGACGGGATACGAGACAGATACAACCGAAACAGAATCAGACGAGAATGAGACAGACGAAATAGGAACATACGAAACCGAGATAGATGAGACAATGACAGAGACGAGACAAACAAAAAGAGACACAGATAGATGAGTTAAAGAAGGATGAGACAGTGACAGAGAAATTAAAGAGAGAAGAAGACTCAGAGAGAGAGAGGGGGAGTGTTTGTTAGAGAGAGCGAGATAGAGAGAGTGAAAGAGAGAGTGAGAGAGTGGGAGCGAGAGAGTGAGAGTTAGAGAGTGAGAGTGTGTGTTTGAGAAAGAGAGAGAGAGGGAGAGATAGAGCAAAGCAGGTTTATAGAGAGAGTAAGGCTCAGGCCAACAGAAACATAACATGAAAGGAAGGGAGAGACAAAATTAAAGAGAAAGAAAGAACTATAAAAAAAATACTCTGGCAGAGAGGAAGAGGGAGTAAGGGAGGACACAAAAGACAGACAAATGAGTTATAGAGAGACGATACACGACAGACGAATGGAACAGAGGTAGAGACAGAAAAAAGTACAGAGTCCGAGAAGACGAGCGATGTAGACAGTGAGACAGACAGACGAGTTAGGAACAGAGTAAGAGATAGACGAAGATACAGAGAAGGAGAATGACTCAAAGAAGGAGAGAGATGCTTAAAAAGAGAGGGAAAGAGACCCAGAGAGATATAAAAGCTGGTACATTAAAAGAATAAGACTCACAGAGACAAAAATTAGGCGAGAAAAATAGCGAGAGAAAAAGTCTAAGACAAGGAATCAAATAATTAGAAAGTGAGAAAAAGGCTCAGGCAGGGAAGAAAAGAGACAGAGAGAAAGACTCAGACAGAGAAGAAAAGAGAGAGTAAGGAAAAAGGAGAGAAAGAGATATGAATATAGAGTGAGAGATTTATTTATTTAGCATATGGCATTTCGAAACATCTACAATATCACAATAAACACTAAAATAAACGTTAAAATTGACTCGATATAAAAATACTTAATTCATGCCCAGTTATAGGCAAACGTCGATGTTGTTTATACAGTTAATCGACTCGATCGTCGCAAACAGGAAGTCTTGTGAACTGCCCTCGTAGGCCCGCTGGTGGCACTCCTCCATTATGTGCTTGAGAGATTGGACCTCGTCGCAGCTGCATGACGGTGATGGTAGCTTGCCCCATTTGTGCAACATATCTGCACATCGACCATGTTGAGTTCTGATGCAGTTAAGTATGCACTAGCTCTTACGTGGTAGGTCAAATCCAGGAGGTGTCTCTGCGATGCAAGGTATGGCTGTATTTGGTTGAACTGCCGACCGTTCATGGATCCATTTGGTGATCATGTTGAACCCTGTGGTTGCGGCTGATTCTGCAGTTTGTATTGGAGATTTTATGAAGCGCAGTCTACTTTTGGTTGCATTTTCTATGTAGTTAGGAATCGGCAGCGTCGTGTTGCTAAGGATCTTGTTATATTCTTTGGTAAGCAAATTGAGTCGGCGAAGATGTATTGGTGGAATGTCGCTCAGCACTGGTAGCCAATGTGTTGGTGTAGATTTAATTACTCCAGCGATCATGCTCATTTGGGCATCTATCTTTTTAGCTTGAGCACTGTTGATCCATATTGGCGCGTAGTATTCAGCTACGGAATAAACAAAAGTGTGGATGCCGATGCCCCCCATGTTGTGCGGCAGAGCTTCTGAATGATGTTATTTCTGGTTTTTAGCTTCTTGGCAACTGTACTTAAATATTCTCTAAAGCTTAACGTTCTGTTCAAGGCCACGCCTAGATATTTTGGATGTTTATTGTGGTTGAGTCGTGTGTTATCAAAGTGAACGTTAAGGGTTCTTGACGCCAGATTGTTGTTTAGGTGGAAGCAGGTTACTTCGATCTTGGAAGTATTGGAGCGAAGTCTCCATTTTTGAAAGTAATTTCCCATAATCTCTAGGTCTTCCATAAGAACCTCTTCAGCTTCTTCTAGTGACTTTGTTTAGGTTAAGAAAGCCTAGTCATCAGCATAGCAAAACTTTTTTGGAGTTGTTTGATGTGCTTACTTCGGATCCTATAGTTACTTGAAATACTCTGTCGGTGAGCACATTTTCTATTAATCTAGTGGTGAATTTGCAAGGAATGGTGCATAAGAGTTTATAAATCATTCCTTCTCGCTAGACGGTGTCGAAAGCTGCTGAGAGATCTATGAATGCAGCAGAACTTTTTAGTTTTTTTTTTGAAAGCCGACTTCTATGTAAGTACAGAGAGATAACACGTGGTGTGTGTAACCTCGATTTGGTCTAAAACCTGCTTGCTCAATTGGTATAGCTTTGAGGATTGTTTTAAGGTTTTTAAATGTCTCGTATGTGAGCTTTATCTGGTAGCTCTTGATGTCGAAATAATATGATCAGAATAGGTTTGGCTTTATACCTGCTTTCCGTTGGTGAAAGCTTTTACCATCTCAAAGTTTTCTTATTAGGGCCCAGCCTTTTCGACTTGATTTTTGAAAGTTTGGTTTACTACTGTCTCAGTCCATTTTTGCATTCAGACTATGAATAAGTTCATCTGCGATCTCTTGGTCTCCAAATTCAAAGAAGTTCTTATATATTCTTTTCAATAACCTCTAGGCATGCTCTTCTTGGCTGTGCTTATCACAGCCCCGACAACACGACCATAGCTCTTACTGATAGGAAGTATCCAGCCCAGGCACTTATTAAGATCAGAAGCGAACCTTCCCCAGTCTGCTCGTGAAAAGTCCCATCTCGGTCTTGGAATTGACTTAATTAGAGGAATTTGTATCCCCGCTCTACAATGACTGGGCGATGCTGGCTGTGTGGAAAATCTGGAAGAACACTTTTTGTGGCTGCCAGACGGGCCTTCTTACAGTCGCTTGATACGAAACATAAGTCGGGGTTGTACTTCCTGTTTCATGCGACTGATTTAAATGTACCTTTGTTTTTAGCATCAAAATTAAGATATAAATGCTCATCTTCAGTCCATTTTACTAAGGCATCCCCATTTATGCCATTTTCCCTGTATTTCCACTGCTCGTGATGACGTTCCACCTACATACCCAGCTGGATAAGGATAAGTTTCTGATGGAGAGAGAGATAGAAAGAAAGAGAGTGGAACTTGGAGTTAGGCAAAAGTACAGAAACAAACGGTACTAAGATAGAAACACATAAGATTGATGACTCGGAAACAGACGGGACATTGACCAAAAAGTCAATGGCAGCCGAGACATTAACTGACGAAATTGAGATGTCCGAGATAGACGAGACAGATGAGACAAAGACAGACAAATGCATACGAGATGGACAGAGACACAGGCAGTGACATACAGAGACACAGAAAGTAACAAACAGACCGAGAGAGAGAGAGAGAGAGATGGGGTGGGGAGAGAGAGAGGGAGAGAGAGAGACAGTGAGATAAAGAGAAAAAATTAGATAATAACTAAAAATAATGCAACAACAAATTAAGTTCATTATAAAAATAACATGAACTGCAGAAAAAAACTTATCCTGGAACCGTAGCTAACCTAACCTAACTTAACCTAAAAATTTTTATGTAGACAGATCCATTAATTTACATGCAAAATTTAATCATTATGTACAGTATTTTGATACAAAAAAGTCTTAGTACCTGTATTTTCCTACTTAATAGAAAAAGTAGATATAATTAGCTTTAATACCGTTTTTTAAATATGAAGAAAATAATGTCATTTACTGTTAAATTTACGTATTATCAATTTGGTTTTTTATTTATTTTTTTTATTATTGTTTTTATTTGTCAGTATATTTTTATTTTTTTTGTTCTTATTAGAATCGGGTCAAAAATGCGGCATTAACGAAATCCTATGCAAAAGCGGTCAATGTGTACCTGCCAATGCTCGTTGTGATGGAATCAATGATTGTAACGATGGTTCAGACGAAGAAGGTTGTCTAATCGGTAGGTGTTCTGTTCCTATACTTCTATATACTAACAATAAAGATGTCAGTCATATCTTGTATTTTTGTCACTAAAGAATAAAAATATTGTATTAAAAATATATTAACAGCTGTGTAGATAGATATAACGAAATTATGACATATTCTTCTTTCGTCATTATCTTTGTATGTCATATTTCATAAGGATTTTTCTTAATTTTGCGTTTAATCCTATCGGTACTTTGTTACCGGTACTTTGTTTTTGTGTATACATGAGAGATTTTTCTTTTTGGCATTGATCCAATGCTTTACCTTTCAGCAAAATATTTGTACTGCCCTCTGTGTTGTGTGTTGGATCTTTGAACGGTGGATGGACTTGTTGCTGAGGCAGCCTATGAGATCTTTATTATTTTCTTATTTTAAAAGGGCTTTCAATAACAGGAAAACAGATTCTACATACGCATTTCACCTTATAGATCATAATCATTCTTTTAATGACTAATTTCGAATTCTTCACATCCAAAATAGAGGCCTTAAGCTATCTTTATTAGAATCTACGGAAATTAACAATTAAAAATTACAGACATAATTCTAAATGACCAACTTGAGACAAACAGTTCTCCCTCTTTTTCCCTCCTTAACTTATTTCGTTTAAGACTATCAAGTGTAAACACATACCAACAATAGATCACTTGAGAAAGGCACTCTGCAGATATAGCTGTAGTGATAAGATATAATAAATTTTTTATTAGTTTTGAAAATAAAGTTATCCATCATGTAACGGTCCAATCCATCTCTTTAATATATCATTATGTCATTATTATTTTATATTATTTATATTATTAAAAATAGCATTATTTAGTACCAATAGGTGCCACTTCTAGCTTCTCCCGGAGTATTTGGTTACCTTTTTAAGTTCTTGGTTTTGCTACTTTACTTACTCGTTTAACGATTTTTTTGCATTATTTATCCGACAAACATCTAATACTACCCAAAATTACAAAATTCTAAGATGTTGGTGTTTTTGTCTTTGTGTTTTGTATTCTATAAGAATGTTTTTGATATGCTTAGTATTTATTTTTAAACGTCTTATCTTTCAAGATAAGACAATCTAGGCAGCATTTAGAATTGTATGTGTTAGTATAGCAGTGTTATCGGCACACATGACATTCTTAATAGCTGTATTTCTAGGGTTATTGCCGTTTTTATTTATATAGCTGTTAAAAAATTGTTTATAATACATTTAACAAAGATAAATATCCTTAAATTAGTGATACTAATATCAGTATTAATAAAATCCTTCTATAATAACGATTTTGTAAACTCAGAACCGCCAATAGTTCCCAAAACTACAGAAAATCCGGATCAGAATCCAGATCAACCTATAGAGGTAGATGTAATTCCCACCACAACTACAACAACAGAAACTCCTGAGACTACTGTGTTTGAAACTGAACCTCCAACAACTACACCACCGACGACTACTACTACTTCGACGGAAGCACCATTTACGTGGGAAACGGAACCACCAACAACTCCCACCACTACGACTACCACCACAACCACCACGGCTAGAACCACAACGGTGGAGTCGGAACCAGACACAGAGTCACCGATTATTGACGAGGGCAGTGGTGCAGGAGATTGCCGCGCAGACGACTCGGTTAAATGCGCAGATGGCTCGAGAATCATTTGCGCCGATCAACAGTGCGATGGTCAAGAAGACTGTGATGATGGAAGCGATGAGATAAACTGTGTAACTACTCGCAAGGGTACAGTTTTTATAGATTTTGTTTTTCGCTATAAGCTTGGTGTTGGTATAATGGTTTCACAGGTCTGTTGCCAAATTTGCATCATCTTTATTTTTAAATATGATGTTATTTGAGACCATAGGTTTATATGTCCAAAGTACGTTAATTAATCTTCTGCCCTTATTCCACTGATTCGGTTTTAGTGGCATATTCTACAATGAGACACTAAAACCGAAACCAAGTTAAAAAAATGGGAAATTATGGCTGCAAAAAGCTCTTATACCATTGAAAGAGTCTCTTGGCTCTCTCCAGGACTTTTGTTATACATTTTGATTCTAGCATGTTTAAAGATGTTTTATGTCATTTCAGGTGTTTCTCTTTTGCTTATTATATTTTCATAAACGTTACAATATCACCTGCTCACTTAGTAAAATGATACGGCCCACAAATTTTTATTGCAGTTTTATTATTTGCTCCACAACTACAAATTTCAACATATTTTTGTTACTGAATTATGTGCGAAATGGGTTCCAAGTAAACTGCTGGTTGCATAAACCTCAGTATTATTTAAATTTTTAAATACAATTGACCGCTTCTTCTTCTTTCTCTTTATAAGCCATTCTGCTTGTTCATTGACGGATTAATACCTCTATGGAAGGTTGTCACTCCATCTTTTGCGCGGCCATCCGTAACTTCTTCTGCCGATTGGTGATATTTTGACGACGCAGGTCTCCTTTAATCTGCTTATGTGGTTATTCCATTCTTTTTTTATATTTTGTGTCTATTCATTTATACACTGTACGTTATATTTTCTCCTAATGTCTTCACTTCTCTTTCGATCTCTCAGCGTATTTCCTGTAATTCTTCTCAGTACTCTTATCTCCACCGTTTCCAGTAGCTTTTGCGTTGTGACTGTGTCGGGTCTTGTTTCTAAGGCATATGTCATTATTGGTCTTACACTGGCTTTAAGAATTCTTGACTTCATCTCAGTGTTAATGTGTCTGTTTCGCCATAGAGTGTTATTAAGGCATCCTGCCAGTCTATTTGCTTTTTGTACTTGATCTCTCACTTCTTTGTCCAGGTCTCCATAGCTAGACAGTGTAATTCCCAGTGAAGTGTTTTAATTTTCATCACTTGTTCAATACTGATACCATCAATTTCTATTTTACATATGGTTGGTTCTTTACTGACTACTATTGTTTTAGTTTTTTGAGATGAGATTGTCATATTAAGTTCTTTTGTTTTTATGTTAAATCTCTGGACCAGTCTTTTCAGACTATCTTCATGTTGGGCTATCAATATTGGGTCCTCTGCGTACCAAGAGTATTTTTATTTGTTTGTTTCCCTTTTTTTTCCTCTTACTTTGTTAAAGTTTTTGATGATTTCATTCATGGTCAAATTGAAGAGCATGGGGCTCATTATCTTATTCCGCTGCCTATTTCTATAGCTTCTGTAAGTTGTCCATCTACTCTGACTTCCATTTTGTTGTTTTGGTAGAAGTTTTCAATATTTTTTATAATATTTAGGGGAAATTCTTTATTATACAGAAGATGGATTACATCTTTAAGTCCTACTCTGTCAAACGTTTTCTTTAGGAAAATCAGATACAGAAATGCTGGTCTATTATACTCTCGTGGTTTCCCAGCAATTTGCTTTATAACTAATATTGCATCTGTACACGATCTTCCACTACGAAATCCCTGTTTTTTTATCTACTAAACTTATCCTCTGATTTATTAGCACTTGTAAAATTTTAGTTGTAAGTATTAGCGTAGTATTTAACAAGTTTATACCTCTGTAATTTTCTGGCTGTTTTTATCTCCTTTTTTTAATAGTACAATTAGGTCGCTTGTTCTCCATTCTTCCGGTATTTTATTGTGTTCTATAGTCTTAATAATTAATGTTGTTAATTGTTCTGTCATTGCTGTTCCACAATATTTCAGTAATTCCTTTGTATCCCGTCTTTACCTGCTGCTTTTCTGTTTTCTATTCTGTACCACGAATTCTTCATTTGTAGTAATTTCTGGTGTTTCCGGTTCTAGCGTTGTTTGTTCTTTCTCTGCATACAACTTTTTTAGGTAGTTAAGGGACCGTTTACATCAGACAATTACAAATACTAAAAGTGAAATAATGCTTGCATACACTGCAGAATAAATAAACTTTTGTTATAATTTAAAATTTAAAAAGGTTCCATAAGTAGATAAGTGGTATATTATTATTTTTATCCAATATTTTCTATTTTCTTTCTATCTACAATTTAAATTATAATCAATTATAATAATAAATCTAAATTATAATGACATGGATTGTCTGTTCAAGATATTTTGATTCTCTATAGATTTCCCTATTTATCGATCTAAAATCAATTCTGGAACATCTGTAGTATAAAGCAGCACCAAATATTGAGCTCAATCAACCAAATTCCCTATAAATAGATAAATTGTTTAACCTAACCTAAGTCTGAAGAGGGTCAACCGACCCTAAACGGACACAATCATTCTTTCCCTCGAAATAAAGATATCCTAACCCTATCCCTCAAAGAATGAACATTGAATCGATCGAACCTAACCTAACATAACCTATATATATTTAAAAAGATTATGTCTAACACAAACTTTATTGAAGATTTTTAACCTGGTGAGTCGACACTTTCAAAGAACAAGAAGACTGATCGTTGCAACTTTATCATATTCGTCCTGAGACTTTTTATTCATCCTCTTACAACTTCGTACTGAAGGCGTTCTCAAAACTTAACTCACTTTGACATATAACTATGCTCTTGACAACAGATCTGTGTTGTTTAGGTTGGGGTTGGTAATCATGGCAGGGGTAATTTAACAACAAGATTCTTCATAACTCAAATATTTTAAACAGTCTGTTTCCCATGGAAGAACTAAATATTGTTTTAAATTAAAGTTGGAAATTGTTTATAAGACGTTTTTAAATGATTTACATAAACATTGTAGTCGCTGATTGTATGGCGCTCTCTGATTGAAGAAAATTATATATTTATCTAGTATATTAATGGAAATTAACTACATATTTAATCGAAAGTACGGTAATTTGACTTTGGTTCTCTAGTAAAAATTTAAATGTCAAAACAAACGTCTTTTCAATTAAAATTGCGATTAATATCTATTAATTGAAGTAGATAACAGAGAAATGTCACAGGAAAATAGTTTCACCACCATGAAAATTATATAAATAGACACCTTTGATCATTTTAGACAGGTTAGGTACTCTATTTTAGGACATCATACAAACATTATTTTACATTTTAAGTCCTTAATTTCAAACAATTATTCATATAACTTTTTCTAACACGGTGATGTTATAGAATGTCAAAAATCACTTGATTAAATTATTTGTATTTACAATCAAGCTAAATTTAAATTTCGCATTTGGGACTTCCTCATTTTAGATCTAGTTAAGACTACCAGACTAAAAAAATGTTGCTTTAACTCAAGTTACCAAGAATCTTGTTGTATTCAATACATTTACTAAACTACCTTGTGGATTTATCTCCCAAGAACAATCCAGTTTGCAGCTAAGAAAGTGTTTCATCGTCCAAATTAATATATTCATCGTTCATCGTCCAGCATTACAATGTAAACAGCTTTTGTGGTACTACGTCATTACGCACACTGACAAACCGTTACGCATTTTAACATTTTGTGTTTTTAATTTTTTTTATTGTTTTTAACCTTTATTAGTTTTATTTGTATTATTGTTACATTAACATTTAGATTATTTGTAAGTAGTGGCCTTTGTATATCGCACATATTTTAACCTATAAAAATGTTTTTTTTTTCAGTATTTTCAGATGTCTAAAGGATGCTGTGGTGGTTCATTATACTTTTTGCTTATTTTAACAGTCTTACAATATATTTTTTCTTACATTATTACGTTAGGGAAGTTAGCCATTCAGTTGGTTGTCGTTGTATGGAAAAGCTCTACTTCTGGCGTCAGCTTTACTTGACCGACTGATTTTTCACTTCTAATCTCTACGTTAGTTTGAAGTTCTGCACAGCGATGTTGTACAAGATTATCATTGAAAATAGAAGCTAGTACCACCGCTCATCAATATAATGTTTTTTTTTTTGCGTAGTAAAGTCTAGTGCGGGATCAGGTGATGGTATATTTTGGCTATTTTTGGCAAATACTAAAGCATTTGGTTTTAGGTAATCCTCTTTTATAATATAAATATTCTTAAGAAGAACCGTTTGAACCGTCTGATTCTTTATTGCTAATATGAATTATTTGATAACCATCATCACCAATTCCTCATTTCTTGTGAATTTTGTTCCAATTTTAATGTACAAACTGTTAAAATAAACAAATGTAATAAAACACCCGGGATTTTTAGCCAGCTGTGTTAAAACCGTTTATTCATTCACCGCATTCCTGCCTTTTAGACTTAAAAAACAAAATATATTACTACAATAGAACTTCAATATTGGTACATAAATAGATACGTCGTCCAAAATATGAAATTTCGCGTCAAAATAGTCTCTGACAGATAACCTAACCTCAAATAACAACCTTCAATCAATCTTTTATTAATTTTTTGTTAAGGGACAAAAGCAAAATCATTAATAAGAATACAGGAAAAGATCTAAAAGAGAGCTGAAAGATAACAATAAAAGAAACGAATCTAATATCTTTAATATTAAAAAAATTGATTTGAAAACCTAACCTTAAATAACTTTTTGTGTATTTTTCTGAGTTTTGGCTTCAGATATATTACCAGATTTCATAAGCTTCAATGTAATGTTTTTAAACTTCTGGTGTAATACTTTTGTGGATATTTCTCAGCTAAAATATCTAAAGAGAATTTGCTGAGGCACAGAAAAAAATTAATAGTAGGAATACAAGGAAAACAATTAAAGAAGCGCTGAAAAACAAGAAGAAAAGGAAACAAATGCAAGATTGAAAAATAATTATAACATCTTTAAAAAACGATAAATAAATTATTTAAGGTGTGTCAACTACTGTAGAGATGATTTCACAAAACATAATTAGCGTGACGCCGAAGACTGACTTACGGATTTAAAATTGTCAAATGAAGAATGAAGGTTATCACCTTAAACTTGAGGTTACTGACGTTGATGATACTCTCAAACATTTTAAACTTTACCTTTAATGTCAAAGCTGTTTTGTATTTTTTATAAAATAAGTCTAAAAGTGTAGAGGTTTGTAAAATATAGTTGTATTGTAAAAAAAATTAATGGATTTGGTTAAAAAGCTTTCGATTCTATGTTCTATTGTGTTGTTATTTTTCTAGAATGTCGTCAAGGAGAATTCAAGTGTGATGTTTACCGTTGTATTCCATTATCTCAACATTGCGATGGAAAAATGGACTGTACTGATGGTACAGACGAACACAACTGCCAGAGAGGTTGGTATTTATTAATTTTTTACTAATTAATGTGAAAACAGTTAATATTTTTAATGAATTTAAAACAAAAATAGATGTCTTAAGGATGTATATAAACTCCTGGACAAAATTAACGCACCAGTTTAATTAATCTAAATACTTACAATATGAACAAAAAATAAAACTAAGTTACATTGATATTGTTTCCTTAAAAAATTGTTGAAATGCCGTGTATGCCCTTCTCTACTTCTGATGACTGCATTTTTGGCATGCATGTCGAGGCATGCTTGATATCAAATGTTCAACAAAAGCTTGCGGAATATTCTCCCGTTCTTCAATTACGGCCTCAATGAGTTGGTTGTGATCGGCAATAGGGGTTCTACGACTTTAAATGTTTTTTTAGATAGTCCCATAGATGTTCCATGGGATTCATGTCCGGACTGTTGGGGGTGGCCACTCTAATAATGGAATATCAACATCATTTATGTAGCCAATAACCTGTCGAGCCACAAGAGGACGAGCGTTGTCTTCCATGAATTAAAAATTAGGTCCAAGAAACGGAGCAAAAGACATTACATGTTCAACAATAATGTTGTCTAAGCAATAATGGAATCCATAGACCTCGTACCTATAGGGAATAACTCCGTACGAGCTTCAAAACAAATTCCCCTCAAAACATTTTACAGCCACCACCAAAAGGTACTTTAGGAGAGATATTGCAGCGGGCAAACCTTTCTTCTCGCCTTCGCCAGACACGCTCACGACTATCTGGAGCTTTTAGGCTTACTCCAGTCTCATCGGAGAAAATAACTCGTTTCCAATCATCGATGGTCAAATTTTGATGCAATTTTGCAAAATTCAATCTCTGAACCTTGTGTTCTCTGCTAAACAAGGGTTTTTTGGCCGATTTCCTGTTGCTCAATTCTGCTTTATGTAAACATCTTCTAACTGTTCGAGACGATATCACGTTCCAGAGCACGTTGTCTCAAAAAACGATCATCAATTTGATTAGTGCAACGTTTTCGCCCTTTCCTTGGTCTTCGATGGTACAACTCTGTTTCATTATATCACCTCATCTTGCAAATGATGCTGAAATGATGTCTCTCTAACAAACCTGCAAATTATCGCATTGAATATCCTTCATCTAGGAGAGTCGATGTTCGCACTGCCTCCTCAATTGACAAATTTCTTTGGCGGTTAATTTTTTTATTTAATTTTTATGCAAATGAACTTCTGAACATGCATGTGATGAAAAATATCACAATAAAAAGCTTGTTTCTCACAAGCACTTTGCTTTGATCGGCACTTTTTGTGAAAAGTTTCAATCACTTTTAGTCTAAAACGAAGTTTAATACAAATTATTGTTAAAACAAGACTATTATTAGCATACATACCAACTGTCACTGTCAAACAAGGTCCATAGGCAAGTTGTCGTATAGTAAATTATCAATAAACAAAAATTATTGAGAAAAATGAGTTCGAAAAATGGTGAAAATGGTTCGTTAATTTTGTCCAGGAGTTTATTTGTAAGAGCCATGTAAAAGAATCTACAGATCTACGGAAGAACAAAATCACATCAACCTTTATTATCTACGATATAAATTAAATGTTTCAGCAAAAATATAATGTTAAGAGATAACTAAAAAAGCTTTTAGAATTTAGAATATCCATAAATGTATGACAAATATTTTCTTAAATTATTAAAGAACATGTACTTACTATAAAAGTATCCGAACGACATCTGTTGTCAGAAAGACGGATCAATATCGAGCTTTTTATGAAAAAGCGACATTTTAAAGCTGTACACTTTATATCACCTTTAAATATTTCGCTAGATGACACTACAGGAATAAATTAAAACTTCGAATAAATAATTTAAAACGTTTGGCATTTTACGTAGTAAATAAATACTAGCAATGATAAAAAGCAACACAAATATATTAAAAAGAAGTTTATAAATTGTAAAATTTGATTATAGTACATTTTACACTTAAATTATTCAAAATTTTATTCTTTCCCGTAGTGTCACCTTGCGGTGAATATTTAAAGTGTACAGCTTTGACGCGTCACTTTGTTAAAAAGCTCCATATTAATCCGTTTTTCTGCCAACAGATGCTGCTGGTAGACTTTTAGAGTAAAGAGGTTCTTCAAGAATTTAAGAAAATATTGGTCATACATTTTTATAGATATTTAAAAGCTAATAATTCTGAGTTATTTTTTTTGCTAGTTTATGTTTTTGATATTGTGCCAAATATTTTTAGTTTAAAAGGCATTGTAGTTTTTTTTGTGCTATTTTCAACTTAAATAACATGAAGCTTTTCTTATAAATATTAAATATTATAGATGAGCTTCTTGTTTCCAGTGCTGAACATTGACCTCCTCTAATAATCTATCATCATCATCACCATTTCTGTTCACTGCTGGACATAGGTCTCTTCCATTTTTCGCCACTCTTCACGGTTCTGTGCGTCTTGTTGCCATTTCTTGGATATTTGTTTAATGTCGTCCATCCAGCGTGTCGGTGGTCGTCCTGTTATTTTATGTGACTTGCCCATTTCTATTTCAGCTTGGCTACACCTTCGACAAAATCAGTGATACCTGTTCTTTTCCTTAGGTCTTGATTCCTTATTTTGTCTTTTTTCCCACAATCTATTGGGTTCGCTACACATTCTTCGTATTCTTCAATCTGTTCAAAACTAACTGTTAAAATCTTGACTGCTAACAAATCTAGAGTCTACAAATGTGTACAAAGATAAAATACATCCGCAAGAATGGTTTATAAATAGAGGTTAAGTTAGAGCAAGGAAGAAAAAATGGGGCGATATTCATACATGAAAAAGTCTGAAAGTTAAGATTAAAGGAATTATGCTAAGATACACAGTTTCAATCGAATAAATGCTTCAAATTCACAAGGCTAAATGGGTTTAACATAGAGGGACGTGCGAGATGCCATGATTTAGTGAATATAAGGAATTGACATAAAAAAATTTAAGTGATAATATAAAGCAATTAAAATTTATCGCATAAAAAAGTCGTTCTCAGGTTTTAACTCTAGTAAATAAACTTTTCCTACGTGTCAAAAAGGTCATTTCATCATATGAATCTCCATAAGAAGATTTAAAGTCCATTCTGGCCATACTTTTATTTTTTGGAATGTCAGCCAGGCTCGACTAATCGCAACGTATGAGGTGTTGCTGGAAAGGAAAGCGTATGGAGAGTCTAATTATGTAGAAAGGTCACGGAAATATCATGTTTTATGTTAAAATATCACGTTTAATGTCAAAACGTAACGTAAAAAATATCACATTTTATGTACAAAAGTCATGTCTCATGTCAAATGTCACCGTTTATGAGAAAACGTCATATAATGGTATTAAAATTAAAATGCGAGTATATTAAAATCTAACGATTCAGGTCGAGTGCCATTTGACTATATGACGTGAGTAAGGATAAAACATGATATAGGACGCGGAGAAGTCACATTTGACGTGAAAAGTGACATAATTATACTGTCTCACGATACACCACATACCATACGTTTGCGATCTACCGAGCTGCTCAAGTGTGACCATGACCAAACTGAACCTTGGATTTTTTCTTTACGATTTTCTTATAATTCCGATAAAATCCTTTAATGTAATTAACGATTTCTAATGTTTTATTTATCTTTTGCTGTTATTAAAATCTAATGTTTTGGGATCTAATCGAATTTTTTTTTATTTATTTAAGAATGCAACGATAACGAATTTTCCTGCGACGACCAATGTTTGCCGTTGGAGAGGAAATGCGATGGAAACAGAGACTGCAGGGATAACGCTGACGAACAAGACTGTCCAGGTAAGTGAATATAACAATTCAAAGGTTTTTAAAGCCAAAAAAGCTATAATTTTCATACATGTTTTTTTCTTTTACAGTTTCTGTTAAAATGTCTATAGATAGGTATCGTAAATTTGTGATATTTTATAGATTTTTATAGTGATTTTATAGACATCTTAAGTTTTATTAATAATTTTTTGTAGTACATTACCTTTACTGAAGAATTTATTTTTAGATTTCAAATCTTTTGAGTTTTAAACTTAGTTAGTGGGCTTGTGATTCTTCCAGATTGTGTCATTAAGAGATCCCGCCGCTTTACTTGGTTTTAAGCTTTGTTGTCGTACTTCTTCTTCAACATCTCCGTAACTACTTATATCTATTCCCAGATATCTAAACCTTGCTTTTTGCTTTATTATTTTCCCTCAATTTCAATTTACATCGTAGTGGGTATTTAGATGTTGTCATTTGGTTTTTTTGTGATATTATCATATTGTATTTTTTGGCTGTTGTATTGAAGATGTGTGTTAATCTTTGGATATTATTTAATATCCAAAATATTTGGATTTTTTTGTTCCTCATTCTGTAACCATAACCTTTATGTACTGCTTGTATTATTTTGTCCATTATTATATTAAAGAGAAGTATGCTTAATGAGTCACCCTGTTTGACTCCGTTTTGTACTGGTATACACTGTGTTAGTTTTCCATTTATTTTTGCCTGTATTAGATTATCGAAGTAGATGTTTTCGAAGGTTTGTATAATATAGATTGGTGTTTCTTTTATACAGTAGGTGTCAGACGTCTTTGACTTGAATGCGATGGAAAGCCTTTGTCAGGTCTACAATACATAGATATGCTGGTTTATTGTACTCGATGGCCTTTTCTGTGATTTGTATTAGTACACATAGTGTTTTACGTAGGATTTTCCGGATCTGAATCCTTGTTGTTCAACTGATATTTTTTATTTATCAGTTCTTCTATCTCTTTATTATCTCTTGGTCTTTGTTGTTGAAATAAGTAATATTCCATGTTGCTAATCTCATTGTGGGCTTATTTTTATGGGATCTATTAAGATAATTTTACGATTTATAAAACAATTTAAAAAAATAAAACTTAAATTTTATTTATAAAATAAAACTAGCAATTCATTTATAAATGATCATTATCATTATGGCTTTTTAACTGTATATGGCTTTTTAACTGTATATGGCCTTCTCAATAGCCCCATTTCTGTCTTCTCTATCTATTACTTTTTTCAGCCAAACGTATATTTCCATCTTTCTTATCTTTCCTCCGATATTATCGTGTTCTCGTTCTTTCCCTGTCCAATATAACGGAGCACTTTTCTTATTGCATTTTTCGCAAAAATCATGTAACTTTAATAATTTTAATAAAGTCAGCAATAGCGTTAAGAGTACAAAAGTTATGTGTACTGTTACGCCATCAACATTATCATATTATGATACATAATATATCTCATATCTCATACCTCATATCTCATTCCATAAAACCCCTGACTTCAAATTTTTACATTCGTACATACAAATGCTTGTATCTTTTTTATTATAAATGTTTTATGGCAGCAAGTTGCTTTCGTCGATAATATTTCAAGACCAAGAATCTTTCATTTCAGTTTATCATATTACTTAAGGACCGGACCACTTCATATAAACAGCTCCATTCAATGCGTACCAGCACTGAATTTTTTTCACGTTTATTTTGGGATAACTTCAAAAACTTGCTAGTGTAACCCATTAAAAAATGATCATCATCATTATTATTCTGGCCCTACAACCCCGCGTGGTTCCTAGTCTCGTCAAGAATTCCTCTCCAGTTGTCCCTATTCATCGCCTTTCTCCGCCAAGCAAGTATTCCTATATTTCCCATGACTTCATCGATGTTATTAAGGAACCTTGTCCTGGGTCTTCCTCTTCTTCTCTGACCAATGGGTCTATCAAGGAGCTTGTTTCTAGCTGGTTCATTTTGTTCCATCCTCATTATGTGCCCTATCCACTTCAGACGTCCTATCTTCATATGTTTTACCATATCTTTTTCCTGGTATATTCTATAAAAGTTCGAAGTTGTATCGAGTTCTCCACACTCCATTGTCATTCACTGCTCCATAGATTCAGTACTTAGCTCCATAGAGATTCAGCTCCATAGAGTCTTAGTACATTTTCTTTCGAAACATATTTTTATTATTTTTTGTTAGAGTCCAGGTCTCTGAACCCATATGTTAGGACTAGGCGTATTATTGTTCTGTTCAGTTTTATTTTTGTATTTCTCGATATAATTGTGGATTTAGGGAGCAGATTGAGCCCAAAATACCATCTGTTTGCCGTGCAATTAACTGATGACCCATTAAATGATTAAATCATTAAATTCACAGATTTTGTTTTGAACTTGCTCGGCGGAAAGAACATTCGACTATCCTCGTATATGCGTGTAGGTAAATCACTTTCTTTCGTTTCCTTACATATGCGTGTACATGTACAAAAAGCAACGAGATTAAATGCAATAAAAAGCATGAAATAGGACACCCAATTTTTTATCCGGCCCTTTCCTACGGAGTTTGAAAATGTGGCAATTGCTTCCCGGGAATTTTTTACTACCGTATTAATCCTTAACGGACGAAACGAAGGGAAATGGAGTGGATTTTCTCGTCGACAGAGATTTGTTGTCGGCGTACCACCCTCTCATTGCTGCCACCCCATGCAGAGAGGATGATATGCTCAAAACGCAATCATACTTTATTCATATTACAATTACAAAACTCGCAGCACAATTGCTTGCTAAATATTTTGCCGCAAACAGAAACAGATATTATTACAGAGACGGAATAATACCTTCTTCTTTAATCTATTTTATTCAAAATACGTAAAACATTTACTAATTCCGTTAACCTAAAATACTCCTGCATAGTCTAATAATCATACGTAGTAGATTTTATTCATTTACCGAAACAGTCCAACAACTTACTAATTTGATGGTGAGAACATTTCTCTTCTATTAACAGAGTTGTAGGCTGCTATAGTCTATAAATATGTGATGAGTATCAATACCATATTCCAGTGTTTTTTCTAAAATTTGTTTGACGATTGCAATCTGATAAGCAATGAAGGGCAACATGACCAACAGCCCAAGATTTATAAAAGACGATGCAGGACAATTGCTTATATACGACGAGGAGATAAGCTGCAAATGGAGAAAGTATTTTGAGCAACTCTTAAATACAGAAAAACCCACAAAAATAGAGCAACAAAGACAGTACCAGTTAGCCGAACCTGAAATACCAAGGCCCACACTAGCTGAAGTAAAGTTCGCAATTTCGTCCCTAAAAAACCATAAGACCCCAGGCCCAGACAGCATATAGGCAGAACTACTAAAAAGGGGAGAACAGCTCCACCTTAAGATATATCATCTTATAAAAGAAGTCTGGGAAAAAGAAGAAATACCGAAACACTGGCATGAAAGCCATATAGTACCTATCCACAAGAAAGAAGACAAACAAATATGTCGGAACTATAGAGGAATATCGTTAGTCAATACAACGTACAAAATTACATCCGTATTACTGCCCAGAAGAGGAAACTCCATACGCCGAGGAAATAATACTACCAAAGCGAATTCAGACCGGGAAGGTCGACAATAGACCATATATTCGTCCTACGCCAGGCGTTGGAAAAAAAAACTGAGAATTCAACCGCGATGTACACCAAATCTTCGTGAACTTTAACAAGCTTACGATTCTGTTTGCAGAGAAGCATTGTGGGAGACCATGGTAGAAATGGGAGTACCTGGAAAGCTGGTACGATTAGCACAGGTGAGCACAGAGAACGCTTCCGCACGGAACATAATTGCCAGCACAACGTCAGAGGAATTCCTTATTGACATCGGGCTTAGACAAGGAGATCTTCTCGCCCCCCTGCTATTTAATTTTGTACTGGAACATGCGGTAAGGACAGCTAAACCACAGCTGACAAACGATTTGCCGCTCAAGGATCAAAAATACTATTCACGTTTGTGGATGACGAGGCATAATTGCACAATCAACCAGAGATGCAAAAGAAGTTTTTCACCCTATTCGAAAACGGAGGTAAGGAAGCTAGCGCTCGATTTTAGTCTATGTTTGCGCCTCATTATCAGACCACTGACTCCTTTTTTCTACCCTACTTGTAACCAACATTCTAACCGATTTCTGCAATACAATATCTTGTATTTTTATCCATAACTGGTTAATATCGTTTATTTTGGCCAAGAGCGAGGCATATGTCAAGGGCAACAAAGTGCAAACTTTACACTAAACAATATTACGCCCAGTGCTCAGTTATGGATCAGAAATATGAGCAAGGATGACTCGATATGAAAAGTTACTACGGATCTTTGAAAAAAAAAAAGTTTCAAGGGCCATACATGGTGTGGTTAACGAACAGGGTCTATGGAGAATCCACAGATGAAGATCAAGATCAAAAGAACACCAATAAAATAAACTGCCTAAGATGATTGCGCCACGTAATGCGCATGGATAAAAATAATCCTGCTAAAATAACCATGCTAAATAGGCCAGTCTGAAGAGCAAGAAGGGGGCGACCTATTTCCTTTTCTTCTCAGATATATGGACATGTGTAGGATGATTTAAGGAAGATTGTAGTAAGGGGATGGAGAAGGCAGATACTTAATAGGGAAGAACGGAAGTTCTTCCCTATTAAGTATGTTTTAAGGAATGTTTTGAGGCAGACCAACTGATGATGATCAATATCTTTTTTTTTGAGAATATTTAGTTTCTCTTTCTTTTTTCTCAACTCCTTTTTTTGATTGAATATCCTTTCTTTACAACGTGACTTCACCAAATAGTGATCACTATATATGTTTGCTCATCTAAAAGATCTAACATTTAAAAGTGTCTTGCATGAATGACTATATAATCTATTAGGTTAGCCGTTTCATTATCAAGAGATTTCCAAGTTCCCGTATGTATATCTTGGTTGGGAAATCGTGTTCCACCCATTACCGTACTTTTGCTCATAGTA